ACTGAACTCTGGTTATTTCATACCCAGCAAGAGCAGCTGTTTGCTTGGGTTTGCCTAACTCAAGGGTTAGGTCTTGATCTCTTTCAAATCACTATAAATCCAGATATTCCTCCCAAGGACGGACAGAGGCACAAAAGCACCAGAGAAACCCAAAGGAGGTCTTGTAATGAATGATATTTAGAAGAGCTTGCCTGGTCTGAGCACGTTCTGCTGGAAACCTGAATGCACTATTTCAAAATTTAGGGATATAATATCGCTGGAGAGGAAGGTGATGTTCTCAAGCCAGGCCAATCCCACAGTGCTTTAGCACAGGGGGATCCAGGGAAGTGTCCACACACAAGAGGACCCAAGGAGGTCTCATACCACAGCTCCTCCAGACCAATCTTCCACTGCCCTGCAAAAACACTGTGAATCATCTTCTATAAAGACATGTCCCTATAAGCAAGAGAGACTGTGGGGTTTGAGGGGCCCTGATCTCCCCAGAGCTTTACAAGGAGCACAGTGAGGTTTAAGAGCACAGCAACGTACCAAATCAAAACAGATAGCAAGAGAGACTGTGGGGTTTGAGGGGCCCTGACCTCCCCAGAACTTTACAAGGAACATCAAAATTTCTTTATCACTCAGTGGAGGTGTAGCACAGTGAGGTTTAAGAGCACAGCAATGCTGTCCATTCTCAAGATGATACTAACTCAACAAAAACATTTAGCTGTCCTGAGTTTTCTCAAGATGATACTAACTCAACAAAAACATGTCCTGAGTCGGAAAGCAAGAAAAAAGGCCACTATGTTGTAACAGACCTTGTAATTTTTCCATTTACATGACTTTTCACACCAAAGCCACACTGCAGTAGATCCATCTCACTCAGCACTAACCAGCAAAGCCCCTTTGGTGCAGCACACGCACTCACCAAGCTCCAATGCACTGAGGGGGTAGGAAGAAACACACCAAAATCCAAATTATGGAAATATGTTACAAGTTGTAATGAGTTTTTACCTGTCCTTATGCTACAGGTATATATTTGAGTCTTATTAATGCTTGAACACTTTCCATGTTTCTCATGTATCCTCACACCTGCACAGTCACCCTCGTGGGGGTTTCAACAGCAGTTCCCAAGCTCATGGTCACAAACATGGCATGGATATGGGCAGCTAGGAGAAAGTTAACACCATATACCTGGTAATGGCTATACCTTCTGTTTTAAAACCTATTCCAGCTGTGTGTTTTGATGTGTTAGTGTTAATCTTGCTAATGATTAGCCTGTCCTGGTCTGGTTTGGTACGATACAATTCTTTGAAATCCCTCCCTGTTGCATTAGACACACAAACACAGCAGCACTGCAAACAGAGAGCATGGAGCCACTCCTGCCTGGCAGAGTGTCCTGGACAAGACAATGCCACTGCCCTGATCTTGGTGACACTGGTGTCCAGATACCTGGGTTAAGAGTGGCAAGCTCGTACACCAAGGTGCAAACTCCCATCTCCTGAGCTCAGCTGTAATACTGGTTTTGTGCTCTAAAACCTTCAAAAGCTGTTACGTTGGGACAGGGAAGAGAAGGAAGCTGGCAGTTTTGATGGTACAAAATGAAAGTAAATACACAAACCCAAGATTTTAGATGTAGCTTTAAACAAACAAAACCAGCCCAAACCAAAACACCAAAGAAAAAGGTGTGCAGCCCCAGCCCACAGCTGGTGACGAGCCAGAGAGGACCACTGGTTGCAACAGGGACTTTGCAAACACCAGACACACATTCCTGCAGCTGAAAGCTTCCCCATAACTGGGTTCCCTCCCTGCTTTCCCTCCTGACCAGTCCATCGTGCTGCCTCGCAGACCATTTCTCACAAGGTTTTCAATGCATCAGGTTTAAGGCAGCAGCTTCTTTGCCTGCATGGACACATGTGGCACAAATTGTGTGTCCAGGTTTCCCTCAGGCTGTCAGCATCCATGGTCACTCCAGTGCAGGCAGAAGCACCCATGGCTGCAGACACCCACCTACACAAGTGCATGAAGCCCAAAATGAAGCCTTGCCTCCACTGCCAGCTCTAGGACAGATTTCACCAATACAGTAACAAAGGAGCACTGGTTTTCCCTTTTTTCTACTCCTGAAAAGTTAGGATAGACTGGTGAGAAGCTGCAACTGAGAGGCAGGAGATGTGCAGGGCACAGGCACTTCATCCTTTCCAGCCCTGGTTCTTCAGCAGGTGCCATCCCTGAGCACACAGCAGGATGAGACCACCACAGACCCACCAGCATACTTGCCATAAGCTTGCTTCCCACCTCCTCTGGAGATAACACACATGGCATTTCCCTCTGGTTTCAAGCCTCTTGACTCTTCTGTAGCCCCCTGCAAACCTTTGCTGTCCCATCTCCTCTCTCAGCTCCCCCTCCGTCTGCAGAAGCGTGAACACAAATCGTTTGCACAGCCACTTACTTGCACTCCCTTTCATAGGAGCTCAGCAGCCTTTTCTCTTCCCTGGAGCTCTGAGGTTTAAACCTTCTGCTCTGACTAGAGACAGCAAATCCAGCAGCAAATGTTCTTTGAAAGCAAGAAGGAACTAGAGCTCTTTTACCATCAGCTTGATGAAATTCTCCTCCAGCATCTGGAACAGCACTTGCTCGTTGCAGAGTGACCAGCAAAGCTGATTTGCACCATTTCTCTGGGCTAGGAAGTGTCACTCTCGGAGTTCAACACGGCACCAGCAGCAGAGTGGGGGTTTCCAGCCATCCAGCTCAGTGGATCAGCATGGAAGTACATCACAGATTTTGACGTAAGCAGCGTCTGTGCTTGCTTGGACTTGTTCTACACGGGAGTTTTCTCCATTCATTCAGTGAGTAGGAGAAGGTCTTAACAGCAACTGATAAAACAGGACTAGAGGCAACTCAGAGCTGCAGAAGTTGCAGGTATTGGTCACACAAGCACACGGGAACTGTTGTTCTTGTGTAGGCACAAGTGCACATGTGGCCTCAGAGATGCAAAAATTCTTTCCTGCTCCAACAAGCATATGAAGACCCTGATGCCACCACTCTTGCACACATCTGTCTGGACACAGCTGTATCTTTGTTTCAAAAAAAGAACAAAAATAGAAAAGAGGTCTTGGTAACCCTCCCCTACCTGACAGAACGATGTCTAACCCTGAAGTAGCTGGTTGCTTTGGGAAGGAATCGCACGAACACATGACTCAAATTTTGCCAAGAAGGGGAAAGCTGAACTGGGATCCTGCTTGCACTGCAGAGCGAGGGGTGAAGGGCAGTGAGGTGACCATCAGCCAGAGGAACTGCTCTTAGCAAAGGGCAAATATCAAGGTCCTTTTTGTGCCATATTGTTTGCTTTCTGCAGAATATGTTATGTTTGTCTTGCTGGGTTTGTATGAAAGCATTTTTCATGCTCAGTAGGTTAATTATTATCCATGGACAAGTGGCCATTGAGCAGTTAGAAATCACAATACAAGGAAGAAAACACAACAGAACACCTTTCATCTTCACACGGAAACAAACCCCTTTTTCTTCTGCCGGGAATTACCCTTAATAAAATCATGTCAATTAACGGTGAAATCAAATTCCTCTGAGTGTTTATAAAAGCTTTCCTTGGCACCTATCATCTTCTCTAGAATTGAACTACACAGGTAGATCAACAGCCATGCTCAGGAAATTCATGTTCCCACCACCACACCATGCGGTGTCCAACTGCACCCTCAGCTCGGGCCAAAGAAAACAGTTCAGTGAATTAAGAGCCTCGGCTTCCTGTGAGCCATCACTCAATCCAAAACAAGGGGAAGGTCAGAAATATTCATCCTGAAGACTATAGACACATATCAAGAGACACACAGTTTGGTTTGGCATTTCCCAATAGCCACCACTGAGTCCTGGCCAAGGGTTCATTGTGGCGCAGGAGGTTTGGGTGGATATACGAGTGGGATAAATCCCTGCATCTCACTAACTTCACCTGCAACTGAGAAAAGAAAAGAAAAAAAGAAAGTAGAGGTGTCCTCAAAGAGATCAGGGAAACAAAGAGCAGTAATTAAACACAGGCTTCAGTCAGGATCTCTGCTTCATGACATAAGGAAGAAAGTTGGACATATGGAAGAAATTTGGACATACGGAAGAAGTTTTTACAGTGAGGGTGATAAGACACTGGAACAGGTTGCCCAGAGAAGTTGTAGATGCCCCATTAAGTGTTCAAGGTCAAGTTGGATGAAGCTTTGAACAGCACAACCTGGTGAAAGATGTCCCTGCCCATGGCAGGGGGGTTGGACTAGATGATCTTCAAAGGTTCTTTCCAAACCAAACCATTCTGTGAGAGCAGATTTTCCTAAGGAGTGGTTTTGGCACCCAGGCTCACAAGTGAACAAGCCTTCCTTTCACTGTGTGAACACTGGAAGAGAATATGATCTCAGGTATTAAACTGTTAGAAGCAGCATTAGCTCCTGGCAAGGGTCAAGCGAGCAGCTGAGCTCCAGGTTGCCACCTGACTCTCATGCCTGCCAAGGCTCAGTGGCTTTTGGAGCTTTTTTTGGACTTCAGCCTTGTGATGGGCTGTTCTGATTTACAACTGTAAAGCCAGGTATCATTTCTGATTTTGAATCAAGTCTCTTCTGGTTTGGCCAAAATCCCTTTTTATGCTGTGCACAGCACTGCTGTTGCCTGTCCATGGGGCACTCTACTCAACAGACACATTGGTGGCTTGCAGGCATTGTGTTAACAGAGTTTGTCATAAGAACAACTCCCCTCAGAAGGGAAGATTGGGATGTTGGGCTGGAACCCCTGGGCAGTCACGATGCTGTGCAGCAACACAGACAAGAACAGAGTTACCAGCTCCCTCTTTCCCGTTCAACTGTTTGAAATGCTCTACCATTAAAAGCTCCGTTTCTCTCTAGCTCAAGTAGCCACAACCTTCAAAATCTCCAGACATCAGGACTATTAGATGACTTGATCATTAACTTCATCACATGCAAGTGTGATTATTCAGCAACTTCTGTGCTTTTTTTCCAGGGAATGAAAGAAAAATGACTTTACTTGTGTTCATCTTCCTGCTCACCTTCCTCCCAGCTGAATCTGCAAGCAGCAGATACCTCCCCAAGGCAGCAAGTAAGTGTAACCTGTCTGGGGAACAGGTCTTCTGGGTGCCCTAAGACATTACTAAGGGGGGAGGAGGGTCCAGGGAGTGTCCCTGCCCCATCAGTGCCCATCACTGCTATGGGACCTTTCAGATTCAGACCAGATGATGCTGCACAGCCCCAGGTGCACACTTGCCCCAGTACACTCGACCTGCTCCACAGTCCCATCAAGTTGTGTAGCACAACTGACATTCACAGCCAACGTGTTTCCCTCTTGCAGTCTCAAGCCCTGTGTTCGGACCACGGCAGGTTTATGGTCTGCTCAATGGTTCAGTGACCGTAAAATGCTTCTACCCTCCCACCCGTGTGAATAGACACGACAGAAAATATTGGTGCAGGGAATCATCCATGGGCTGCACGACCATCGTCTCCACCAGCGGGTACACTGCTTCAGGCTTCCGGGGCAGGATCTCCATCACTGACTACCCACAGGCAGAACACTTCCAGATTAACATCTCGGAGCTTACAATAGCAGATACAGGCACCTACCAGTGTGGTGTTGGTATCAATGGCAGAGGGCTCTCCCACAAAGTCAATCTGGATGTTTCTGAAGGTAATTACAGTCTTGGGGATCTTTAAAGTATTATTTTCTTTTACTTCCCCCCCCACCCTGCCTTTTTAATAAGGCTCCACAGATAGTCTGCCCAGTGTCTAAGAGCTCAAGATGCTCCATGCTTTCAGGAAACAGCAGGTTTGGTTTTCCCCTGTGATTTTTTAAATTTTTTTTTTTTTTTTTTTTTTTGGAACAAAAATCTGTCATAAAAATCAGATTTCAGTTTTGGGGTTCCTTTTTGCTTCTCCAGGATCATTATCGGTGGGTGGTGAGCAACTGTACTCTGCATTACTCAGATATATATAGTTGTTATCATTATCGTTCTTATTATTCTTTCTCTTTTAATTTTATTTTACTCTAATTATTAAATTGTTCTTATCTCAACCCAGGGGTCTCCTCACCTTTACCCCTCCAATTCTCTCCCCAATTCCCTGGGTGGGGGCTGCTGCCAGCTGAGTTAAACTAACACCATAGAGAAACCCTAAGCTAAAAAAAAACCAACCTTGAGAAGTATTAGGGAGTCACACACAGTGGTGGACCCTAACTGATGTCTCTGTACGTGCAGGTCCACACATACCTGAGGGAGCTGAGCTCTTCTACGTGAAGCTGCACAGCACTTTGACCATGTCCTGCAGCTTTGGGAAGGAGTATGTGAGCGTGAGGAAATATCTCTGCAAGATGGAGAAAAACGGCTGCCGTAACATCATCGATAGCACTGGGAAAGTGGACGAGGATTACACAGGGCGAGTTCTGCTGAGCAATGAGGAGCTGCCAGGCTCGTTCAGCATCGTGATAACTCAGATGGGCTGGGAAGACTCTGGCTTGTACCTGTGCGGGGCTGGATCCTACGGGGAGAATGGAGAAACGAAGGAACTGGATGTGCATGTCTATGAGGGTAAACTATTCCCAGGGGCTTTTTCCTCCATCTCTGCTTCTCTTTAGAAGCATCACTAGCAGTCTCACTTTATTTAACAAGAACTTTAATTTCCCTTTGCAGAGTGCTACTATCCTATCCTCTCATCTAGATTCCTCTTCCTATTCATTTAGCTATCTGTCACGTATTAAACCATCACTAACAAAGCTTGTTTCAAGATTTAACTGTCCCTGCAGTGGCTGGCTCTCTTCCCCAGTCTGGCTAGCCCAAAACTCCAGAAGGCAAATTCTACCTACAGGTTTGAGATGAGCAAACTGTCTCTTCAAGTCTTAATTCCTTAAATCTCAAGATGACAGTCGTAGAAAGGAGAGGACCTGCCCTGCCCTTAGCAAAGGGAGCAAAACTTTGCAATGTTGGTACACAAAGACAAAACCCACCCAGTGAATTTGGGGAAAAGAAAGGCCTGACAGACCTTTTAGGGTCAAGTCATAGCAGTGCCAGGAGAGTCTCCTACCATCTGCACCCCTGAGCTCTGCTGAGCCTTGCTTTAGCCAAAACAGCCTTATTTGATCTGATAATATTCATTCTCTTGGGAGAGTGCCACCTGGGCAAAAGTTAGACATGTAGAGCTGCTCATTTCATTTTTATTTCCAGAGACAAGCGTCCCTCAAGGAAAAACCACAATAATTGGAGTAAAAGAAAGTTCAGCAACTTTTGAATGTCGCTATGAGCCTCTAAGAAAGTCCTCAGTGAAGTACTGGTGCAAGTGGAGGCAGAATGGGTGTGCTCGGATCATAGACAACTCCGGGTTTGTGTCACCTTTGTACGAGGGAAGAGTGGCCATGTATGACAGCCCAGGTAACCAAACGGTCACCATCGTCCTGAACCAGCTGAAGAACAGTGACAACGGCTATTACTGGTGCATGACAGATGAGGTGAAGGAGCAGCAATCATCAACTGAGCTGAAGATCATAGATGGTACGAGCTCATGTGTTAGCAGTTCTCTGCCTGCTCAGCAGGTACAAAACAACCTCCTAAGCACAGCAAAGGAGCAGATCTGGCTTTTGGGGAGGTCCAAATGTGAGCTTTTATCTCATAAAGCAGAACATTGTGCCAATCCCCCCGCACCCTTGTAGCTTTAAAATGGAAACAGGAGGTTTCAATCTTATGGGAAAGTGTTCACAAAAGTTTCTCACGCAAGTATTTCTTGAAAAAAAAAACCCAAACCAAACCCCAACTGAGCTTTCACTCAGAGATGCACATACAGCATCCTCAACACTAATTTAGCAAAGTCAGGAGCACTTTCTCTCAGAGATACACCTCCTGGTTCAGCATCTCTAGCAGTACCACTACCTGTTGACTACCATTCCCATCACTAAAACCACTAACATCAGCCTTGATGTTCTGTTCGCCCTCACAGGAGAACCTGGACTGACAGGAAAGAAGGAAGTGGAGGTGCAAGAGCGTTCACGGGTCGATTTAAGTTGCTCTTATCCGTGCAAGTACTACTCCTACGAGAAGTACTGGTGCAAGTGGAGCAACACTGGCTGCAGCCCCATGCTTGCTTCTGACCAAAGGCAGCCAGGGCCGGATGTTACCTGTGACAATGACAACAAGACAGTTATCCTGAGCTTTGACTCGGTGACAAAGGCAGACCAAGGGTGGTACTGGTGTGGAGTGAAGCGCAACGGCCTCTTTGGGGAAACCATGGCAGTGTACCTGTCCGTGACTGATGGTGAGCTCCAAGACAAAGGTAGACAAGGACTTTCCTGTTCCTCAGGGCTGGGAATCACGCTGCCTTCTGCGGAAAGTCCTCTCCATAGCCACTAGGTTGCAGCACCTCAAAACAGAAGTGCTCCCATCCAGGCAGCCTCCCAAACCAGGTGCCAAGATCACCCTCATTTTGCACAACTCATCATAGATGTTTTCAACCACCCGTTGGTTTTTGCTTCCTAGTCATAAAAACCCCCACCAGTCTAAAAATCACTTCCACTCCATTTTTACTTTTTAACCCTAATTATTGCTATTACAATTTGTAGAATCATTTAGTTTAAGCAACATCTGACACCTGCCAGGTGAAGGAGTGCGTGGAGCTCAGAGACACATCTTGCTCCAGGCTGCTCAATCAACAGGAAAACACCAGGAAGCAGGAGAAGAACTACCACCAACAGCACGGGGCTTAGTCTCAGCTTTGGTGCAGTATTTTGGAATGAGGAAGTTTTTCTCGGGGAGAAATATTGTTAGAAGCAGAGAAAAAGTATAAAACTAGATATCCCACATGAAACCATCCTAAAAGGATGATGGTCAAAGTGAAAACAGAGAGAAACAGCCTCATTTCACTGCCTGTGGTGGGCAAAGAGCTCAAAATAAAAGAGAGCAAAGTATTAAAAATTTGTTCTGGAAATACTAGAGCCAGAACTTAGAAATGCAAGACTTTTTCAAAAGTATATAGGCAGAGAGACCCTACTTGAGACTTTTTTAAATATTTTTTTTTCAATAAATTATTTGCAACGAGATTATTTCAGATCTCTAAACCCCATTTTAAAGAGACTCCCATAGACCCAAAACCCACTGCAGTTCCACATGCCCCAGATACACCCAACTGGTTTGTGTGTTGCTGCTCATGCTACTAACCACCCTTCTTCCCCAGGAGGTACAGGAAGTGATGCTGACCACAGCCCAGACCTTCTGGATGTTGATTCCCCCAGCAACACCGAGCCCCCCAGCCACGCCGAGGGTGGCTTTGTTCCCCGAGGAAGAGCCTCTGGTGATGCTGGAGTGCAAAGCGCTGCTGCCTCAGAAAGGTTAGATCTCTCAAAAATCTCTGTCATTTATCATTTTTATGAGGTTTATATTAACCCATTGTTGGTACTGGGTTTGTAACCTCCCTGTGTGGTTTAGCAACCCAAAAAATTCTTGTCCCTAAAGAATTTATCTTAAAACATCAGAGAAAATGAAGCAAAAAGTGACAGCAAAAGGCAAGATGGCTTGAAATTAATCTCTAGCTCAAAACAATACAGTCCCAGAAGGGAATAATTAGAGATTCCAGGTACAGAAAAATTAATTAAAAATTAAAAATTCTGGCAAGATTAGAGAGCTTTCCTTCACATATTTATAACCAAACTTTCCTTCACACATTTATAACCAAGCTGCTGGTTTGGTATAACCTCTGTCCTACATTTTTATTTTATGCACTACAATCCAGTTCATTAATTGAACTGCATCATGCTCACTCAGATTTACCATTCTGTAGAGATTTTAGATTTCTGGACATTCATATACGTTATTCAGTCCTGAATAATTTAAAAAAATAATGTATTTCACGGCTCAGTGATCTTCCTTTCTCTCTGTTCCAGCTCTAAGCAAAGCAATGGCCCCGACACAACTGCTATAGTCCTGAGCTCTGTTGGTGCCGTGGTCCTGGTCCTCGTGACAGCTTTTGCCATTTTTAAATACAGGCATCTGAAGAGATCTGGTGAGTCTCTGCCTTTTCTAGTCTCCCAAGAAACATCAGCAATATCAAGACATAGAGGATACCTTGTGCTTTCTGCAGTCTCTGCCGGGCTGAGCTGCTCCCTGGTACCCCACCATGTGATGGGTGGACAAGGGACCCTGCTTCTCCCACTGACCCCATCCATATGGCCCCAACACCCAGGGTGCCTGGGCTGACACAGGGACCACCCCTCTGAGGGCTTTGCACGTTGCATTGCACAGGGTCTCCTTGCACAGAGGTGGCTCGGATGCCAATGGGCTTGTACTGATTCTGAGTTATTTATCTCCTCCCTCTTACCAGACCTGGTGTCCGTCGGGAGCTACAGGACGAACATCAGCATGTCAGACTTTGAAAGCGTGAAGGAGTACGGGGCGAGCAATAACGCCTGCGTGAAGGAGAGCCAGGAGACCCAGCTGGGAGGGGATGGTAGGTCACTGACTGACGGGCAGACCCCCCCAGCCTTTGGGTGAGGGGTTGGCAGAAGGACCCTACAAAAGCTACCACCTGCCCACCCAAACCCCCCAATCCCTAACACCTCCCCTTCTCTCCCTGCAGAGTTCATCACCACCGCGGCCACCCCGCAAAGTGCCACAGAGACAAAGGCAGCAAAAAGGGTAAGAGAAGGCAGGAGAGAACCCACTGACCTGGGAGACCCCATTGCAGCCCTCCAGCCTCTGCCAAAGGAGCTACCTTCTCCCAGGGGCCTTATTTATACCCAGGTGCTCTCCATCTTACCTGGATCTGGCCACCTGCTGCAGATCAGCCTCCATGGGAGGACCCCAACCCTTTCCTGACCCCTTGTTTTAGCAGAGAGAATTGTTATCAGGTGCCTGGCTTCAAACAGCACAGCAAGTCAACCCCAGGCAGCATCCAGAAGGTCGGGGTTGAGTTGTTACCATAAATATGATCATAAACACTGGGATAAGCAGATGGCCAGAAGCACATCCCACCTCCCAGCCTTCCCCCAACCTGGGCAGTGGTTCAGGGGCAGAGGAAAGCAGGGAGGTCTCTGCCATTGCAAGGGCTGTGACTTGCTCCTGTGGTCCCTGCCCTCCTCCTGCTTTTCTCCTACTTTCCTCTTGCCCTTAAGTAAGATCATGGTTGAGTGGCACCACTCAGCAGTAACTGAAGGTGCCAGACACAAGCCCGTCTTTTAAAAAGTCCCTAACCAAGGGTGATATATAGATGTAAGTGCCAAGAGCTGAACTGGAGCAATAAAGGAACCTATCAGGAAACCAGTAAAACCCATCAGATTTAGGACAGGTGAGCTGGGTGCTGACACACAGGGACAGTTGTGCCACCAAGTCCCAAACCCACTAACATCTGGGGTTCTTCCCAGAGCCAATAAAAGGTGTGATGCTCTCACATCAGCACCAGCAGGACCCACCGGCTTGTCCCACCCATCCAGTCTGCCTGTATCATCCTGAGAAGTTCACACCCATGTCACACTGCCCTTTCCCCTGCCACGTGCTGCTGTCCATCCCCAGCCACCTAACAGTGTCCTCCTGTCCCTCCCCAGAGCTCCAAGGAGGACGCTGACCTGGCCTACTCCACCTTCCTCCTCACCTCCAGCAGCATCGTGCAGGGCGGCTCTGGGGGGGACAGCGCTGCCCCAGACACATCCCCCCCAAACTGGGAGGGACAGGTCTGAATGTGAGGGACCACGAGGCAGCAGCGACTGGGACCGGCTCTACCCTGAGGATCAGAAGCCATCAACAAGCAGCGCTGTTCATTGCTACCACAACTGCTATAGCTTGACTTTTTTTGTTATTTTTTTGCTTAAATTCAGCTTCAAGGGGTGATTTCAGAGGAATCATTCGATGCCAAACAGGGTGGCTGGGCTGGAGGCACAGGGCTGAGCGAGCAGTTTGGACTGGGAAATGGCAAGGGCTTGAGTGGCTTAGCTGATCGACAGCTCCAGTCCCACCAGTGCCCTTCCAACACGGGGGGCTCTCAAAGGCCAGAAGATGCATTTTTTAAAAAATCTCATTTTCTTTTAAAGGCAGCTAGAAAACCTCTAGAACAATGACTCACGCTTTTGATTCCTCTAAGCTTCCTCATCCAGAGGGCAGTACCTGCAGACCAGACACAGTCTGACATGTTTTTTTATGCACAAGCAATAAAAAAATACCACTGGCTTCAGCAGAGCAGGGGGACTCGCTATCCATGGGTGGGTGTGGGGAGAGGGCACCCAGAGAGGCACAGGAAGGGTGTGTTTGGGGGGGACATACTCCTCTTACAATGACAGCAGCACATAGGGTGTTGCAAATGGCACAAAGCAGTAGAAGAAACCCACAATTAATGGAGATAGAAGGCTCTGGAGTGACCTTATTGCAACCTTTCAGTACTTAAAGGGGGCTTATAAGGAAGATGGGGACAGACTTTTAGTAGGGCTTGTTGCATTAGGATAAGGGGCAATGGTTTGAAACTAAAAGAGGAGAGATCTACACTAGATATAAGGAAGAAATATTTTACAATGAGGGTGGTGAGACACTGACCCAGGTTGCCAAGAGAGGTGGAAGAAGCCCCATCCCTGCAAACATTCAAAGTCAGGTTGGACAGGGCTCTGAGCAACCTGGTCTGGTTGAAGATGTTTGGTCTAAATGGCCTTGAAAGGTCCCTTCCAACCCAAACTATTCTATGATTCGATAAATAGGAAATGGTTTGAGTATTGTTTCTCACGTGCATTTTCATCAACAGCTATCCAAGCATGACCTTAATTAGCATGCCAACCGATTAGCAGACTAAAGAGCTAATTGGGCAATAGGAACCTGTGTTCACTGGCACTGTATTTGCATAATACAGATCAAATTCCCCAAAAGCAGATGAAGCAACAATCTCCTATTTCTGACATGGAATTGAAACAACTGAGCCCAGTCCATGGTCCTCTGCCACGGAGCCACCTCACTAAGGGTGGCTTCAAAAACCCACCCTTTGTGTAATAAACCTGAGCCACATATCACTCACATATTTTCCCTGGTTGACTTCATGTTTATCCAGGCAGAAACGAGGATAACAGTAATTAAATGTTGTCTCTTGGTCTTATTTTTGAAAGCAGATGACTAAACAGAGAAAAGCGATTTATTGCTGCATGGATTTCCAAACAGCAGCACCACGCTGCTGTCAGTTAGATGTGGGTACAGAAAGCTGAATACCCTGCAGATAAAGCCATGTAGGGAGCAGAAATGATGAAGAAATGGTGACAAAGGAGAGAAGCAATTTTCCCTGAACACCAGGAATGGGATGAGCTGGTGGCTGCCTGGCTAAGAGAGGGGCTGGGGAGGGGTCTGACGGGGCCAGAGCTGTTGAGGAGAAAAGGGGTAGAAATTGCCCAGAAAAATTCAAATTCTTGAGCCTACGTTGGTAACGTGCAGCTCTGACAGTGAGCTATGAAATATGAACAACGAGGAGCGTTACCCTGCCTGGGGTCTGAGCTGATGGTGTTACAGCAACACCAGAACAATATTTCTATTAGTGAAATATTAGTGAAATATTTCTATGTAGTGAAATTTTAGCTACCCTTTAAAAGGAAACCAGTAGAGCAGCTCGGCAGGGGGTCAGGCAATGGCTGTTTGTGTCAGCCTGCAGGCACAGAGATTTCACCAAGGATAAAAACCAAATTATTCCTGAATCACAGACCTCCTCACACTAAATACCGAGATGAGCTTGGCTCACAGTGAGCAGGACAGCAGCAGCTCTGGTGGGATTTGTGTTTTCAGAACTGCTCTTGCATCCACACTGTGATAGTCACCACTGTGCTGACAGCAAGGCTGGGACCTCCAGTGTCAGCTCATAGCTCATCTCACCAGCTGCATCCCCTCGGGAGCATGGTGGGAGGGGGCTTGGATATCAGAAAAGGTGCAGAGGGACCAGGACAGGTCCGTGCCTGCCCAGAGTTGCTGGAAGTGAATGAATTATTCTGGTGCAATAGGAAAGGCGTGTGCTTGGAAGGCATCCTCGGGGGAGAGCATTCATAAAGGTGCAGGAGAATGCTAAGGTTTGGAAATTTTGGAGAAGAGAAAACCCCTTTTGCTCTCCCTTTGCAGATTTGCTTCCTCCCCAGCCTGCCTGCCAGCATCCTTCTCTCAGCTCCGCTCCTCCTGGACTGGGAGCAGCTGGAAGGAGCTTAACTCCCAGGAGAGGTGCAGGGGCCAAGAAACATGGGGGGGCTGAGCACCCTGCCATCTGACTCTGCCTTCAGCCCTCAGCCTGCAGCTCCTGCCCCTTCCCACCACTGGCACTTCCATCTGGCACCTCCTGTCCAAAGGGGCAGGTCCCTGGGCTGCTGCAGGGCTCTGCAGACTAAACTTAGTTTGACATGAAAACAGTGAAACACGCATGGTTTGAGGCATGCAACTCTCCACACAGGATACAAAATCAATTAAATCTAATAAATAATAATAATTATGACACCATAATCATTTTCTTTAACAGAAAATCATGGTACATGCAAGATACCTGTCACTCTGGGTTGATTTGAAGGGTGATGGTGTTGAACAATCACTGACAGAGCGTGGAGGGATGTATTCACTCATTCATGCCCTGGCACCAGGACAAATGGAAATCACACTGCAAAAACTCCTGAGAAAGCAAATTAAGAGAATCAAAGCCCCGAGAGGCTTTCCTTTAGCATAAGCAAATATTTGAGGAAGGCTAGTGAGCAATCAAGGAGATCTTCCCTTTAAAAGTGAATCACCAAATCCCGCTCGGCGTGAAGCACATGTATATGTGCTATAGGCAAATGCTGGTGAGCTCACCCAGCCAGGTCACCACCTGGGCTATTTTGGGAAGGGACAAGGAGTTTCCTTCTCCTCTGCAGCTTTTCATTCTGCTGACATGGGCTGCAAGGCACAGTGCCCACTGGACTGGCACAAAGCTCCAGTGATTCTGGCATGCTGCTGGAGGTCTTGTGATGGGGATGAAACCAAAGCAGTAACAAGCTCCTTCTTGAGGACATGAGGATCTTATTCCATAATAGAAAAATCCTGTTAAAGAGCCTCTTCTGCAGCTAAATCCTTCCCTGGATGCAGCATCATTAGACATTGCCCAAGCTGGGAACAGCCAGCCTTCCATCCATCCTAGCTGCTGAAGCTTGGCAGTGCCCACAGGCAGGAACAGGAGAGCTGGAGAGCGTTGGGCTGTCTCTGAAGTGCTGAGAAGAGGTTTGTGCAAGTCTGGAAGATTCAGACCTACAAACACCTACCCAATCCTAACAGCAATAAGAGCTGCTCAGAGCCAGGGGAGCACATGCAGCACCCTGGCTGTGTTGATGCCACCGCAGCCAGCAGGACTCAGTACACCTTGCTCAGCTTAGTTGATTCCTAAAGCAAAATACACCATGTCAGAGATCTACCCTCTGGTCTTACTCAAGCCTTATGTCTACTGAATACAGTAATAATACTTTATCACTTGAAATATTAGTACTAGAGGGCTAGCAGGTACATAAATGTCCCACTGCTCTGGTTTGTGTTAATAAGCAGCATTTACTGGGCCCTGACACCAGGAGGGCATAACCCCTCCTGACTGCATGGAGAGATGATCTAGGTTGTCTTGGTTTATTTACTAACACATTAGGCCTCTGCCATTGGCAGATACTACAGTGTTACGTGTATTCACACCTTGTGGGAAAACACCATGGAAAATGGATTTAGACCATGCAGAACAAGTGGGTACCAGCAGCTGCATGTGTGCAGTCAGTGGTGGCTAAAAGAGCCCAAAATGGGGGAAAACAGACCAGAGCTATACATTATGTATAACAAAAATGGTCTCATGGCCAAGCTGGGGCGATTTAGTATCATTCAGCTCTAAACTTTGGTCTCTCTGGTATGCCAGGGACAATGCATGGCCTCTGGGATGCTGCCATCCCCAGGAGTGACAATATCTGCTGTGAAAGGGCACCAGGGTGAATTCAGCAAGTTTCACCAACAAGAAACATGTAAGTCCTCAGAATTTTGACTAATAGACTCAGCAGAGTTTCAAGTGGGGTTTATTTACAGCAATTGCAACAGATTTCCACAAAACTTAGTACCGAGTGTCAGTAAATTACACAATATGTACAAGAACCTTTTTCTGTTCAGCAACCACATAACTTGCATAGAAAATTTTACTGATAAGGCAGAAAATATCATCTCAAAAGGAAACACAGATTTCTAGGGCCTGACATACCTGCTAGGACTTATTTTTGGAAGCATTTCTCACACTGTACACCTTGTTTCAGTCAGATCAATCAGGGACAGCAGTCACACAAGACTGAGCCTGGATTTATGAGCGTTGCTCTGCAGTGTTAACTACACCAGAGTAGTTCCAGCAGGCACTCAGCACTCATGAATACACATTCCCTATACAAAAAATGTATAATTTAAACAATGCTTTTATTAAATGATCACAGCTTATGCCTGCTAGCAAGAGGAATCCTTTTAGATTTTCCCTTGGAGAGCATCCTTTGATAGAAGAAGCGAGTGCTACGCTGATTTAATCAGACTCAGTACCTCCATCTCAATGCAAGACTCTGCTGATGCATTGGCCTGTGTACTTGGCTGGTAAAACACTCAGTGTTTGACTGAACACAGTTGCAATCAGTGAGAAACAGCACTGATACAGTCCATTATTTTCCTGGTCACCACTGGTGTGTGCAATGTCCCAACAGCTTCG